CTTTTTTGCTTAATCCCAAAGAGGTACTACTGCCGACGTCTTCATTGAAGAGGTAGGTGTGTTACGACGCTACATGTCGTGCTGAATGGCCACGCAATTGGATACGGTCCACTTGCGCTTGTAGTCTCGAACTATCCTATTGCTGATATTTGTGATCTTTCTCGTGCCTCTATTGCTTGAAAAACCAGTGAAGAGCTTGTCCGTAGGACATCTCTGGCAGTTGTGTTTGTCAGACATTGATCGAATTTCGGATACTTGATCCGCCAGGCCACGCGTACGGCAAAAAAGATAGCGAGGTAACTAACAACTCCTTTACGGTATTGTCTCAAAGTAAGCGCTCTTGAATGTCGGCCCGGCGACGAGATTGCGGCTTGCGCCCACTCTGGTATCTGCCAAGGTCAAGGTATCTCGTTGCCTGTGCCATGCACAATGATCACACTCAGAGGCCGCTCGAGCACGGTATTGTTTTACCTGGGCTCTTGTGGATAGAGGTCTTGAACCCAGAATTGAGTGCCCGCTGAAACAACAAGACAGCCATGGAGCCTCAGTAGCTGGTCTTTGCCGCTCAACTCGATCCTGAGCTCACAGTACAGCGATACCTTGCTGGCTAATCCCAGGAGGTTGAGCCGTCTGTCATCCCACTGTGACGGCTTCTGTGCAACCAGCGGAAGCGGAAAGACTCTGCGCATATGCACGATGATCGACAACGAGTGCGCGTCTCCTCTCCTACCTGGTCGCCGTACGAGTGACCCGGAGTCCCAGAACGCAGTGAGCCCTGAGCCAATTGAAGCTGTGGCGTCGAGAGTCTGCTCATGATCTCACGAAGGCGCTCTGCTTTGACCGGAAGGCAGTATGAGTTGTTCGAATCTCCCACCGCCGGCTGCGCGCAGTGACAGCGGGTCAGGCAGTGAGTATCCAGGCAGCCTCGCTTGACGGCATCATTTCACCAGTGGAGGAGCGTCAAAAGTACAGAATAGTCCTGAAAGAGCTCTTGATCAAGCGATGGTCACGGGTGACCACATGAAAAGCTGCAGCTTGGCTTTTTCTGTCTTTGAGCGGTCTGCGCTGAGACATAAACACCGCCTCTCTTCGTGAGAAGACCTGCAAACCTTGCAAACCATACTGGGACGGGTAGGGCAAGCAGTTTTGGTCAATGATGTCCAGCGACACGCATGTTATGTCGGGGTTCGCTCTCGATATCTTTGCCTGGCGGATAGGTAAAGGGGCTTGCATTAGAGTACGCCATGTCTCACTACCGAGAGATTATTGTGATCAATCCGAGAATGCTTTTCAGAATACCAACTTTGAATGAAAGTTTGGTCGCGATTGCAGGGGCAAGCGAGCAGGGCCTAGGTTGAACATCTCGAGTATCGCCAGCTGGAACAAGGCTGAAAGCACACGTCAAAGGTGCAAACCAATAGAGTTCTTTGAGAACATCGCAATCGTGCAGATGTTCCGAGATGCGTGAGAAATTGGGCCACGTTTGCAACGAGAGGACAGAGACCGTGCACTTGTACTCCTGCGGAAAGCTGCAGGTAAACATTACAACGATTCGTTCTTTCATGCCATACTGACAAGGAGGACGCAGTAGACCTGGAATCCTGTGAAGGACCGAACACAGCTAATTTGAGTTTGGTGATGCCACTCATGTGTAATAGAAAAGGGATCTGCAATGTGGTGGTGCAATCGTCGAATAGCCTTAGCAGTGGACTCCGATATCGATAACATGGACACTATTCGTTTTCAGTCCACCGTATCCGTTGTAGGTCATGTATAGGCGTTGCTGGGAAAGGTGAGATGCCGCAGCCCTCACCTAGAGCACCAGTGATTGGTGAGTCGCGGCAGTGCTACCAGCTCGCACGTTCCCCCAGGCCCACTGGATATGTTTCGGTTGATGTCGACCCATATACCGTTTGAACAAAGGAAATAGATGTATATCCTGGTCTGGATGCAGGGTTCAGGGCGGGAGCGGTGTTTGACGCCGTACGACACAATACCCTCGATCCATCCTTCACCATCTCCTTGTCCATACCCCAGCACTTGCTTTCGGTAACGATCGTTTGATCCTATTAGTGGGTCCGCCACTGCATACCCCGACAAGCCATGTAGTATGCATCTGAGGCTAAAGCACGTCCACTTACACACCGGACGTCATCTGCAAGGCGCTTGGACAAGCTTTGGCGACGCACTTCGCCAAAGGTGAGCAGCTAGTGGGCCGAAGTGAAGGTAGAGTTGACCCGTTAAAAGAACTGTGTACAGCACAAGTACCTTCTCCTACGCTTCCGTCCATCCCTGGTGATCTTATCCGAAAGCTCTCCAAAAAGGATACCCAGGTCCAAATTTCGACTCTTTGGTAAGAACTGCATCCTATCTTGCCTGACACGACTCATGCGATTGTTTCTCCTTGGGTTCTGCTGACTTGGCCTTTCAAAGTGATTGACCTACTTGTACTGTTGCGATAACCGAGCGAGGGTATCCGTTGGACACCACACGAGACCCAGCTATTCGCCACGGGACGACGTTTGTTGGAGAAAGCCACTGCGGTATTAAGTCATCACCAGCGCGTAGCGCACGTCTCTTCACCGTCAACCCTATTGAGTGTGTTGTCGACCAAGTACTGACCTCAACACGGTACGTACGTTGCGGAGGCTACCAGTTCCATCTGATGTAGGGTACTAATCGCGTGAAGGCCGGTTGCTAGAGCTTCGTGTTATCCGGATCACGTCCTCAGTGGTCAGTAGTATAGAGTGATCATCGCGTCCTCGTGAGCATTTCGCAAACGAACTGGACTTCGGCCTCTTCTTCCCGTCACTGCCACCAAACACCCCTCTACTCCAAATCGCTCCTTCGTTCCACAGCAGCTTAGCCTTGCTTGTCAACCTGGTCTCTGCGTCTTCAAGTCCACTGTCCCTGTCAAATACTGGTACCTTACGACAAGTACCTCACGACAAGTACCTCACGACAAGTACCTCACGACAAGTACCTTACGACAAGTACCTGTACCAACAGTCTTCGTTCCTCATACTAGAAAGTTCTTGTGTCATCCACACCATGAAGATATCGCACTTGTTGAACCCATTCTGCGGTGGTCCGGACGATTTCCGCAGTTCAAAATCGCCCACGCCAGCCTGCTATCCGGTGACAACAGTTGATGTGCCTAGACGACAGAAGATTCCGAAAGACGCTCCGATCTTCTCAGAAGGCAATAGGACCGTCGGCAACGTCAACTTCCCACCCCACGAAGCCGGGGATGACCAGGAGCTCTTACAACAGCATCGCCGATTTCAAATCTACCCCCTTGGGGAAATCTTCAGGAAGGGTGTACGGCACATTCCATACAATAGCGACAAGAAGGCTTTCCACGAAAAAACTGGGCGCGAGGCGTTCGAGAGTGAGCCTTATCTGATGTTATGAAGGCTCGGTTCTGACTTCTGAATAGTGTTCCAGTATACGTACAAGAGACCCAATGAAGACAAGGAGTACGTCGTGGTCTGGGACTACAATGTCGGCCTCGTTCGTATGACACCCTTCTTCAAATCATTGAAGTACTCCAAGGTAAACAGTCGGTCTCCGTTATGAATACATACAAGGCTAACGTCTCCAGACGGTACCGGCGAAAGCGTTGAGAGAAAACCCCGGTATGAAAGACATTAGTTACAGTATCACCGGCGGTGCTCTGGTGTGTCAAGGTTAGTTACGATACTCTGATCAATGAGCGGAGAAGTACTGACCCAATGTAGGTTATTGGATGCCCTATCACGCCGCGAGAGCTATAGCTGCGACCTTCTGCTACGACATCCGATGGGCGCTCACCCCTGTATTCGGGAACGACTTCCCTTCCATATGTCTGCACCCGAGCGATGCATGCTTTTCGAAGTTCCTCATCGATCCAGCCACTGTCCGGTATTGCGCGCAGGAGACAGTTCGTTTCAAAGAGCTTGGCCCTGCATACACATTGTGCAAATCCGATGCCTCATCGCTGCCCGAGACACGCAAGACGCACTGTGGGCGTTCCTCGATGAATGAGCAAGTTGCAAGGCATCGGCGCGTGCGACCGTCCGATATTGAGAGCGGATATGGGACGGACACTGATCGGACTGGTAAGTATCTTTGTTCGCCCGAAGTATCTCCTCGTACCCAGTTCACGCCGATCAACCGGTCCCAATCCCCGTACTCGCCGCGCACAGCCGTCTCTTCGCTCGCGGGCTCACCCGTCAGCTTGAACGCGCCTCCAGGTCTGCTCACCCCAACATCGGCTCCTTGCGAATACCAGGGCGGATTCTATCGAACAAAACGTACGCATTCGAACGTCGCCTCTTACGATGACTGCGGTGACGAAGCCCTCATCCGCCTCGAAACAACGGCAACTGTCGACAGCGCACATGGCTCCGAAGTGGACATGTCCGGTGGCGATGACAACCATACACACGGAGATCTTGAAGCGGCGGCGATGTTGTTGTCGCTATCAGGAACAGGAACGACGATGCCACCGACAAAGCGAACGCGTCGTGATTCGAGGATTTAGGGAAGCGCTGATTCTCACCTTCCTCACAAGATCGTTAGCTCAAGTACCGCCAGTGGTCCTTTCCTTTTCCGTCAGCCGATGACGTCTCCTAGCCCTTTTTGTCCTCTAGGCTTCGTGCTCCAACCCCATGGATTCCACCTCTGAACTTCCGACTAGTACTTTGATTTTCTAGTACTCATCGTCTGCACACTCGTTAAGCAACATGCATTTAGTCTGGCTTGTTTCTTTCATGTGTACAAAGGCGCACTATAGGCGCTTCGGTGTCGCTGTTTGGCATTATTTCATGTTAGCGTTTATGATATCCACTCGGAAGAAAAACCATCGCATAAGATCAGCAACTTTGCACACCCAGTGCTAAGCGGCCTGGCACATATTGTACTCAAAAGTGTAGATAGATAGATAGATGTATCCTGGTGAGCGAATTACAACCTTGTCATGGTCATCGCATGCCGTATTGTAGTGATACAGTGAGAGCTCACTTGGAAGCTGCCTTCTGGCTCTCAATCCTTTTTCGTGTACCATCGATGACTGCCTCCTCGTCCCAGATGTACGTCACACTGTCCTGCTTGACGACTTCGGCGGCCCATTTCGAGAAGTTGGGCAGTGCGTCAAGGCCGGATGTGACAGACTTTGGGAGGAGTTCGTTCTTGGCCATGGCATATGTTCGGATGATGAATGGTGCTGTCAGTGCCTGCAGTATGTCAGCTTCGCTCGTGGTCAAGATGACACCACAATGTACCTCAGCCAACGTGACCTTCTGACTTCCACCAAAGAATGGCTTCGCGTCTTTCAAGAGCGGTTCAATCTCCTTGCCTACTACATCCACAAATTCCTGGCTCAACTTCGCTTTCTCATCTTCAGAACCCGACATCAAAATCTTGTAGAAGTAGCTGCCCGCCTTGCTAAACCAAGTGTCAACGAAGAAGTTGATTCTTGCCCTGGTCAAGGCAGCATCTGGGGATCCTGCTGCGGGGAGGACGTGCGAAGGGTACGCATCGGCCAAGAACGTTGCAACGACGCCAGATTCTGTGATGATCTCACCGTTGAAATTAATCGCAGGAACAAGACCGCGCTTTTAGAGCGTTAATGCTGCTTCGACGGTTGAACAAGAGGCTGAACGTACAGGGTTGATTTCAAGGTACCATGGCTCTCGCGGCTTGCCCAAATCAATGATGACTTCCTCGTAGGGAAGGCCCAACTCCTTTAGCACAATGTGTGCACGATGCGCCCAAGGGCAACGATGGTTGGTGTATAGAGTGATCTTGGGCGTGTTTCCATTGAGTTGAACCATGATGGGCGATGTAGAATGGGAAAGGTGATGTCAGCGCTAGGTTATGCGGCTGAGAATATAGGGAATACGACTAGACAGAGACGGATGCCGGGTACAAAGCTTAGCTGGACAGGACTATAATGCAACCTGAGACAAATCGCGTTTATTTATGATGCTATGTCGAAGCTCGTAACTCGGCGTTGAGCTTAGAAATCAGCGTGCGGATGCATTACACCAGTATGCTGGGGGATGCCGACATGTGGGGTAAGTGGTCCGCGTCCCGTGGAAGTTGCGCGCCTAATCCCCGGAGCTTTTCGCCCGTATTCCCATTCCATGTGAGATCAGATGCTTTGTGTAGGAACTCTAGCATCTGACAATGCCGAAGCTCGATGACGAGCTGTACAGGAAGCCTGTAAAAGGCAGAAAATGCGTGGCGGTGTTCGCCCTTCCCATAGGGGGATGTGCATGCTCCTTCTCGTAGGCTCGGAATCCGAGCCTCGGACGGCGAAAGACTTCATGTCCAGAGATAGCAGCCAGATGCAGGCTTGAAGAAGACTACCATATGCTCGTCCGTCCGTCGGCCTATGTGCGATAGCCCAGGGTTGTTTTGTCCCGCCGAGACCATATTGTGCAGTATCGGCCTGCTCAATGTCACCCACCATTCAGCGGATAATGCCGTCACCCTCGACCTTCCACTCCATGGCATTGGCGTCTGTCTTCTTCTTCGCTCGGCGCTTCTCATTGCGAAGCCGCCTCTTCTCTTCGGCATCCTTTTCCATTTGCTCCTTACTCATGGCCAGTCTCGCATCTAGGTCCGTCACCTCCATAAACTTGTCCTCGTCTCGTTTCCGCTTGAGATATCGTAGGCGATCGCGTACTTCCTGGACTGTAGCGCGGTGTACTTCGCCCGACTGGCCCGTCGCGACCAAATGCTGCTTGCTATTCAAATGTTCGACGTACTGAATGTTATCCCTGGTAGCGGTTAGCGTAGTCTAGAGTCTAGAGACTTGTGACGGTGAATACATACTTGAATGTAAGGTCACAGGCTTGACAGTATGCGCCCGCACCGCGTCCCCTCTTGCCAACGGCTGCCGCTGCCGATGTGAGGGTCTGCTTTCCAATCATCTTACTCCAATCTATGCGCTCCGACCTGGCCTCGGTCTGCTTCAGATCGTCGGGCGTAGACGCCCTCCGCCTGTATGTCTTGCCAGCCAGTTTCGCTTCATATCGCTCTTTCCCTTCCTCGCGGTCCTTTGCCTCCCTATCCTTCGCCCTTTGCGCCATCTCGTCTCGGTCCCATGTTTTCCTGAAGTCTGTGTCGCCGCCGCCTTTTGTTCCATATGCGCCTGCCTTTCCGCTCATGATGGGCGAATGTATCGAGTACGCGCTTCGCGATCGCGTCCAGGTATGGTCTAGTTGTTTGGAGTTATATAAGTCGCGGGGACCTCGACGTAGTCGCGTGGCGCTGGGTGAAGCTCGGGTGACAAAAGTTGCTGATGTTGTGTCTTGCGTTTTCTACAAGCTCAAGCTTCGACTTTCCAAGCCATACGTGCACGGACTCAGTGGAGCCTTAGGCATGTTCTTCACCCAACGCGACGTGCGCACGAGGATCTCTTCATCTCTGATTGTATTGAAGTCATCTATGAAGTTGAATTCGCTGCTGAGGGCAGAAAGTGATGTTACTCAGTGAAATGAAACCCCTTTGGACGAATACACCTCGCTATGCGTAATTTCATTTATGCGCTTATAGTAGTCGCATATCCAGAAAACGAGACCAACAAAAGAAGCGCCAGTACATGCTATAGTTTGTGGATACTATCCAACAATGCGTCGTTGCTTCGTAAGCCATTCGATGGCTGGTAATAAAGGAAAGAGCTCGTCTTGCTCAATTGTAAGATATCCCTAAGGGGCACGCAGTTGCTTTCGTGTCGAAGCTGTAATGAGGAAGTTTGTGTACACCTTTAGGGTATACCTCATGAGAGACGACCTCCTTTACAGTCCTTCGTACGTGTGGGCGGTTGTGATTAGATCTTATGATAAGGGCATCGGGTACACAATCTTGGCCCAGTCAGAAATCGTAAGATTCTGGCGGTCGAGGATAGGCCCCGTTATGATGAATCGGTGGGGTTGGTACAGGAGGCATCTGTCCACGCATCACTCTGAGTGCCATATGCATCTGAGGCTGCTGCGGTACTGATCCCTCTCTCTCCGCTCGGTCCCGCCGCTTTTTCTTTTTCTCTTTGACCCGATATCCTATATCCGCGTAGCCTGCCGCGGCGAATGGTGGCTCAACGACTTCTCGAGAGCGATCGTCTGGTAGTCTGAGGTCGACAAGGCTATAGAAATAGTCGAGGACTTCTGGGTATCGTAGTACGGATGCGCGCCAGTCGGCATCAATACCGCGCTTGAGTTCTGCATGCGCTTCTGCAATCTGTGTTTGCAACGTCGAGATATACATTGGGTGAAGTGGGGGATGGCCTGAGTATCGCATGTAGACTTCGTAGTTTGGGAGGGAGGCTAGGTATGACGAATGCGCTTGCTTGCGTATCGAGGTCAATCTTTCGAATGCGTTGAGGATGTGCTGGCGAGCATGGTTGATTACCCAGTCCCTAGACAGTCAGCATTTATCGTAAGGAGCGCATCTTCCCCATACCGTATCTCGGCCAGCCTCTCGTCCATGGCACGCTGTTCGGCCTGCTTGACAGCGATTTGCAGCCGCTCCGACTCGCAGGAGCATTCAGGATACGGAGGCGCATTGCAGATGGCACAGTTTGGAGATGCATCCATTTCGAGGGTGAAGGCTTGGAGAGCCAGTGCTAATCATCGTCGGTCCAGAGTGGGACAGACACGGTTGGGAAGCTGCCTCAAGACTCGCTATGCAGGCAGAGTGAGGCTTCGATGTGGAGTATCGTCGGTTTAATACAAGCCCAAGACGGATGCTCGCGCTTGGGTAGTCAGGCACAGGCGGTGACAAGTGACATGTTACATGACGAGCACTGTGGAGGCCCGTGACTGGGACTGGCTAGTTTCGTGCGGCTTATGGACGGATTGATGTATGGAACAGACTTGCGGATGCGTTATGAGTTGGCAGAATCGCTAAGATCCGCTCGACACCCAACCTCGCGCTATGCCAAGGTTGTTTACATCTGACAGTCGGCAGGCTCGATCGGAAGCTAGTGATATGTCAACTACTATGCTTCACCGTCTTATGATCAAAAGAAACTACTTTGATCATGAGCCTGCGTGACACATGTTAGTATTCGATCTTTACAACACGTTACCCCGCCTCGCTTCCAGCCTTGTCCGACCCCTCTATATCGATATGTCCGATTGGGTCCAGCGCAAGAGTGCTTCGAGTCCAGATCCATCATACAAAAGACGCATCAGCGGTATACATCTCAGTGTTACCTGGAACGCAACGTGTGACAGATCCATTTGACGTCTTCTACACCTCATGTATCCACTTAGGCATGGTTGACCATTCTAAGCAGGTGTACATTGAGCAGCGCTGTCTACAAAAACAAGTGTTCTTGCAGCTTCCGGGCGTGTTTCCAGTAAATGTTCGCTCATGATTGATATGTCGCGTCTCAGTCTCTCGCCGAAGGGTTCTGTTGGGCGGTCAAGCCATGAAAAAGACGAAGCTTACGAAGACATCCCTTTCTATCGCAAGGTAGCAGTCTCGAACATCCGGTGTGATTCAAAGGAAGAAGAGCGCCTTGGAGATGGCTCCGAGTCCGCATGGTGGTCTCTGGTGAACTTAGACAGCTGTTGCGTCCGCGGGCGCGTTCTTGACATGGTAGATTCCCTGACGTCACCTGTCCCCGTCACTACAGCTAGCGTCTTCAACATGTGAAAAGAACAAATACACGCGTTTCTGCTACGCATCAAGTACTATATGTATAGCCCATGTCCACTGCGCTTCCCAACATAGCAGCTACACGCGATTGCTGGTTGGGTACGGAGCTAGTCGCCCCGAAGACCCTATTTGTTCGGCTCCCGAATGTCAATTCTTCGCCGACTCTTACGACCCTCCGATGAACGGTATCTTCCTGACCGCCAGCTGCACGCCTTACAGGCTTCCATATCCAGTGGTTACGCTTGCCGATTTCGCATCTTTCGCAACGCTTTCCCAGCGGGTTCCCCGTGGCAGTATGCATTTTCCCCGAAGGTCTGCTATCTTCCAGACCCTTTGCAACCAATCGCAAAGCTGTCACAAGCGTTAGAGGATGACTTCCGCCAGGATCGTGCTTCGCGCAGAACCGATGTGGGGTTTGTCAGCTCCGGTTTGCTGGGGCTGGGGTTCAATAGCCCCGTAAGATTCGCATCTGTAATTTTCAGCTCCTGTACCCCAAGAAGTTGGCAAGGTCGAAATGCAATCGAAACGGAACATGTCAAGTATATATTCGTGGCCAAATACACTATACATGCATCACAAGCAACTGGTACCCCCAACCTCAACATCCAAAATCATCACTGCGATGCATGCTACTGACTCAGCGTTACGAGCGCGTTCTCTATCGGATGACTAGCCCGCTCTAAACGCAAGACTGGCTAATCTGTATTCTGCGAACGCACGGACTGCGCCCTTCAACTCGACATCCTGCAGAATGCGGTTTAGCGGCTGTAGGAAGTGTGCAGTGCTTTCTTGGGCATGGCCTAAGGTGTGAGTCTGAACCAGCAGTCGTACTTAGGATCCATCATCCCGCAACGACATCTTGCGCCTTATCGTCTAATCCGTACAGAGGGCGCGCACTTGTCTTTTAATCCTCCGAAAATCATTGACACCGACCAATACGATCTGGTCTTGCTTGTGAGATCGTGGATCGCCATCATGGCTACTCCTAGTGCAGCCTTCGATATGGCAGACTTTGTCGATTTCGGGGAAGCAAGCATGCCCAATGTGTCACAAGAAACCGATCACAGCGTATCAGGAACCTTGCTACAACAAAGGTGAGTTTGCCGAGCATCGTCGTACAACCTCGACTTGAAACTTGCTTGTTGCGGGTTGGCAAGGATCGTGGCTCATTTTTGCCAACTCGCCTTAGTATAGTTCTAACATGTACTAGCGTTCCATCAGATGACGACTCTGGAGCTTTGGAGCAATCCAACAGTGCTCAACCTACGAGTACAGACTTCAACACAGACTTTAGCAGCTGGCTTCCACGATACCAGAAGCCTGCTCATCCATGCGAATACTGTCGATCGAGATCACTGGAGTGTTTCGTCTATAACTCCGATGGCTCAAAGCAAACCGGATGCTCCCCATGCAACGCTTTGTTCCGACCATGCAGCTTCAGCAACCCCGAGAGGATGCCAGGTATGCGGCAGAGGACTGCACTAGACACCTTAGATGTCGTGGCCGAGAACGATACGCGACACTTTGGTGGACTTACGGGCAAGAAGCAGATGCGATCGCTGGGTCATCTTGGCCCAATCGAAGATGGGAAAGAGGATGACGAAGGTCTTAAGAAGGGTGCCGCAGGTGCTCGCTTTCCTCGAGCCGCTGTCAAAGTACTGAAAGATTGGATGCTGATGCATATCGATCATCCTTATCCTACCGACGAAGAAAAGGAGGATCTGAAGCAGCAGACCGGCCTGTCACTCAACCAAATCTCTAACTGGATGGCCAACACACGGCGAAGGCAGAAGAATCGACCCAAGCGAAGCGCATCGCCGAGCCTTCGACCTTCGACAGAGGCTATCAATATCCCAGCAGGCAAGACCTGGGAAACTTTGAGTACGTACACCGAGTCTGGGTTTACTCGCTCTCATAAAACTCTGGCGTCGACATCCACCGGAAAGTTTATGACTTTCCGAGTAGGTGAAAAGCGTCCAGACGTTGAGCACAGGATCCCAGATACTGGCGCATCATTTCAAGTGCCAGCGCTCCAACAAACGGAAGTTTTGGGTTAACTCGCGACAGATCCTTTTGAACGATGGAAACACTCTCCCCCTGAGAACGAACCAGCGCCACTGGAAGCTATTGCCCACGCTGTTGAAACCTTTGACCCACCAGAATCTGCCAGTCTAAGTAGCAGCTACCGTAAAGATGGCTCTAACAACAGCACTGGAAGCTTCTCAGTATTTAGAGCACCGTCTATCTCGTCTTTGGAGACTGGTCTCACGCAAATGTCTTCCGGCTCTCTTGGATCTCGCAACTCAGCTTACTCGCATGGATCACGGCATTCTCTAGGCTCCTTGAACAGTCTGAAGTCAAAGGAGAGGCGGAGGCGTCGCCGCCTCCCTACCCGAGCAGCGAAGGCTAGTCCTGATGAGGGTCAACGTATCTTCCAGTGCACGTTCTGCACTGATGCCTTCAAGTCCAAGTATGACTGGTATGTACAGCATCCCGCTTCGTGTGA